TATGTTTGTTTTGAGGGAATTTAAATAACATCTTGAAAGACTAAAATTATTAATTTTGGTTTTATTAAATTTAAAAATGATTAGAAAAAGATTTAATTTAATAGGAAATTTTTGATTTTAAATACATAGTTTTTTAATATATCCAGACAATGTATTTAAAAATCTATGGATTTGAAATTCATTTTTTTTATTTAATATAAACAATATATTTTAAAATATGAGTATTTAAATTATATCTATTTTAAATACAATTATTAAATTCAAATTCAAATTCTCAAACATAACCTGAATCATAAGTTGTCTGAATTTCGAATCATTTTTTTGAAATGAATTAGTATGTGCTTGATTGAAGTTTTAGAATTTAGGGACTCCCATTGAGGGTTAATACATATGAATTTGTTTAATATTTGGATTGAAACTATTTTTATTTTTAAACTATAATTACCTTATATAATAAGATGACTTTTTTTTAAATCCTTTTCATTCATATCAAAATTTAAATTTACACAAAATTTAAAATAAATATGAACATTTTTAACTGCTGTAACCTCTTGAAAAATTCTATACAGTAATTTTTTTGTTTTGGTACATAAGAAATTAGAAGCCAAAAACTAAGAGCGGAGGAACAGAGTCCCTATGTCATCTCCGTGAAGGGTACTTTCAATACGAGCGGGTGGCGATGCAAATAAAGTGATACCAGAAGAGAGATTTTGACCAATAGCAGCCATATAATCTGCAGCAGAGTTGCCGTCCCTGAGTGTATACAGTAATAGTTATAATAATTGATTACAAAAAAATCAAGACTCATGCAACTAAACTAATCCAAGGTTTTTCGTTTCAGTTATAAAATTTATTACAGTTGACGGTTTTGGGGAAGAAAGAAAAAAAAACCCCGGACGGTTTCTCATTTGAATGAAGGTTTGGAGAGGAAACAGACGGGCTCCGGTAACGAACGACGGTCAGCGACATGCCGATTCCGATCTTGATGGACATATTCTCAAGGATTCCTATAAAGACGGTCTTTATCTGCAGGTGCGTTTCCAAAACGTGGCTTAACGTCGTCCCTGTCCCTGAGTTCCATGAAATGGCCAGCAGTATTTGCCCTTTGCTTTGCATCATTAACCCACAACGGCGTTCTAGAGCCCTCCACATGGTTCCTATGGACACTGCCGGTGATCTTGATGAGAAACTCAACCTCCTCAACTCGAAGCTCTTCCTCCCAAATAGCAACCCAATGAAGAAAGAGGTTTTCAGATTTCCCTCTCACCGTGGATTCGATGTAGTCAATTCATGCAATGGATTGCTTTGTCTACGGACACCCAAATACAATGATCCTATCATGGTATGCAATCCGGTCACGGGTGAATATGTGAGTATTCCAAGGTCCAAGAGGAAACATGGATGGACTAGACAGCAACATGAAATCGTAGTTACTGGGTTTGGCTTCAGTTTCAGAACTTGCCGACACAAGGTGGTTCGATTGGTCAATCGATCGGTTTCGACTCCTAATGACTCTTATTTTCATGATCGCAAGGCAAAGATATTCACGCTTGGTGAAGATTCACGGAGGAGCATTGGACCTGCTCCCCTGTGTCCGATTGAGTCATCAGCTACTGTTTTCCTGAA